CGCAAACTCCAAATCCCTTCAGCCGTAAAGTACTCGTGGTCATGGTGTTTCTTTAGAGAAATACGACATTAATGTGATGGAGAACACCAGCGGAAGGCACAGAACACAAACATGTACGTGCACCAGACACAGAAAAGAGGCACGGGGCAGGCATTCATTTCACCTTTTCAGTTCTTCATCATTAAACATTTCGAATGCGCAGAAAAGCCCCCAACGTGACGAGATAGCCATGCGCCCAAACGGACTTAACGATGGTTAAATTTTGCCATGTCTGCTAAATATTTTGACTTTAACAAGATTTAGTGAAGCCCCAACCTTCTCTCCCACCCCAGAGAGTAATTTGCATTATCCTAAAATTGGCGTGCACTTGTTCCGAAATGGTTTTCACTTTTACTATATATGAATGTGCCCATAATACATACATAGTATTATGGACATAGTTCTGCTTTAGAATTTGTATACAAGTCATAGACTTGTTACGCTTTCGTAAAACTTGTTTTTAATCATGTTTTTGACATGTATCCACACTGATATCTACAATGCTGTCATTACTTTAAATGTTTCACAGTATTTGGTCTATAGTCTATCTATAGTCTGTCTATAGTCCTTTAAATAATGTTGCAAAATAGCTATACACTTACCAATTAATATAAGCTTGGTACCTAATAGATTTCTTCCTAGATTTGGAGGCATCTCCATTTACAGTAACATTTTTTTTTTACCATTGCATTTAATGGGTAAAACCTTCTGGCTGTAGGGGTGCCTGGGTGGCTCAGCCGGTTAAGTGTCCGACTCTTGATTTTGGCTCAGGTCATGATCTCACAGTTTGTGAGTTCGAGCCCCGCGCCGGGCTCTGTGCTGACAGCGCTGACAGCGCTGAGCCTGTTGGGATTCTCTTCCCTCCCTCTCTCTCTCTCTCTCTCTGCCCCTCCCCAGCTCATGCTCTCTCTCTCAAAATAAATCAATAAACATAAAAAAAAAACCCTTCTGGGTGTAAGTTCTAGGCAAGCAGCGACCCTGTCTGCTTTCTTCACCATCATATCCCTGGCACCTGCACAGCATCAAACACACAGGAGGCACCTAGTGAAAACCTGATGAATGAATACACAGACACTGGACAGCAATATTGCACCTGTTATTCAACTGGGACGTTGCGATAAGGAACAAAGAAAGAAAGAAGGGAGGGAGGGGGAGAGAGAGGGAATACAGAGGGAACCAGTACACTGCCTACCTCAAAGGTGAACTCTGTTCTGTGAAACCTGTATTTCAATTATAAAGGCGTGTGGCTGGATACTGCAATAGAAAATACATCATTGTAGCTGCTGTGGTACATCGAGATTGCTGGCCTGGAGCCAGACTACCGGAGCTGAAATCCCAATTCTGCCCAAGTCAGTCCAGGGTTCTTCTTCTTTCTTTTTTTTTTTAAAATATATATATATAACTGTTTAATGTTTATTTTTGAGAGAGACAGACAGAGCGTGAGCAGGGAATGCACAGGGAGGGAGGGAGACAGAATCCGAAACAGGCTCCAGGCTCTGTGCTGAAAAGAGCCTGACACGGGGCTCGAATTTACAAACCTTGAGATCACGACCCGAGCTGAAGTCGGACGCTTAAACAACTGAGCCACCCAGGTGCCCCCAGCCCTCGGTTCTGTAATCTCCCTGCCTCCGTTTCCTCATCTGAACAATTAAATGAAATACTGCACTTAAAGAGTTTATCGCCCTGCCTGACACATGGGAAGCACTCAATAAAAGTTACTGTATCTCTCCTAACTGCCTCATGTCTCCGTGTGTGCGACCTTAGATGATAATATGACACAGGTCCAGGAAGTCCACAACACACAAAACAGACCAAGTCTTATATCCGCCGATAGCTCCAGAATAAACACAAGACTTTAGGTAGAAGAGGGGCACGGCGTTTTAGATACGAGAAGGTTGACCTTCGACAGCATTTGAAAAGCAGCAGAGGAAGGAAGCTCACACCATGAGCCCTGCACCCTGAGTAAGACCGTGGCTTTCTGCACAGCGGGCTGGGCTCCGTGTCCAGGAACTCTCAGGCTGAGGGCCGCTCACCTGGTGTCTAGAAACATGCCTGTTACTTGCGTGGGACCTACTGTGCATCAGGAGTGAAACTGAAGGATGCACCCTGAGGAGGGTCTCCACATGCGGCCGAGGCTGCTGGCCTCCCACAGGCCCCGACCCACCTTTACTTCCTACACGTTGGCCCCTCGTGATCACAAGCACCGGATGGCAGGCGAGGCGGTGGGGAGGGGGCCAGTAAACCTGCAAGTCAGGATGCCGTTTCACATCACACACCTCATTCCTCCTTCTTGACTGGGGAGTCGTCCTCTCAAGTTTAGCAATGTATTCCGGAAAGCTCTTTCATTAAGACAAGCAACAACGACAAAGCCCTTAAGTCGCTTCGCAACGTCTTCCTGCAGGGGCTTGCTAAGTAGTAACAGGCAGGTGTTATTATATCCATTTTACAGATTCACAGATGGAGAGAGGGCGAAGCCAAGCTAATTAAAAAGAACAACGCAATTTATCAGGTATCTAGGGCCAACACCTGGTACTTCCATGACCCTTAGAGTTCTAGGCTGCCCTCCTGCCGGCCAGTCCTTTAGAGTCCAGCTTCTCTAGTTCAATAACTGCTCTATCCGACAACCAGCAACGTGATTTTTACTGTCTCCCCTTCTTCTTTTTTTTTTTAATGTTTACTCATTTATTTTGAGAGAGAGACAGAGAGCACGGCAAGAGGGAGGGAGGGAGAGAATCCCAAGCAGGCTCCCCACTGTCAGCACAGAGCCCGATGTGGGGCCTGAACTCACGAACTGTGAGATCATGACCTGAGCCGAAGTCAAGAGGTGGAGGCTGAACCGACTAAGCCACCCAGGCGCCCCTCCAAGGTCTCGAGAAATCACCTCATGCATTCCACAGATGACCTCTCATCTTCAAAAATCAACTTTCTCTAGAAATGGGCGTGAAGAATTGTATTACAAACAGATTCAAATGAGTTTCCCATGGAGGGAGTGGGAGCCACAGTCCTTCCTGGAGAGGGCTGTTTAGAGCCAGTGCTTCAAGCTCCGACAACCGCCAGAGGGCAGATGGCAGCAAGGACCTCGTGGGATTCACAACCAAGGCGCAGCTTCCCACCCTTCCGGGACCCAGGCTGCAGGGTCGGGCAGGGCGGCTCTGAGACAGACGGGCTAGAACCTGCTGTCCCCACCCCACCACCTCCCCGGGTTACCTCCTACTCCCCTCAAGATCCAAGTTCTAAATCAAACAAAAGGATGTGTTCTGATGACTCAGGTTTTCATTGTGAACTTTTCTATTGTGTTCTAATCAAATAAAAATTCTCCTAATTCATTGAGACTTGAAAGCTTGTTCTTTTCAAACCAAGAAAGCTCTGGCCTTAAGACTACAGTGTGTTTGAGTCCTCTCGTCTGCCTCAAATGTTTTTCTAACCCTTCTTTATGGTCATGGAACCAGAAAGCAGTACAAATCAGTGATGAGGAGTAAAGACCCAATATTGAATCCTGGCCTTCGTCAATTCATCAGTAAGCTAGTAACATTAGCCATTCTCTGTCTTGGTTTTTTCAAGTGCAAAACATTAGATAATGACAGTATTTCTAGCATAAAAACATGATTAAATGAGATGAAATGATCTTAAGCCTCCAGGAGCACCTAGCACATATAGAGCACTAACTGTTCTTTTATTAACTGTTATTTTTAAAATACGATAATAAATTTTGTTTTTTTAACATTTACATTTAAAAAAATTTTTAACGTCTATTTATTTCTGACAGGGCGCATGCGCGCGCACACGTGCAAGCAGGGGAGGGGCAGAGTGAGAGGGGGACAGAGGATCTCAAGTGGGCTCCATGCTGACAGTAGACAGCCTGATGTGGGGCTTGAACTCAGGAATCGCAAGATAATGACCTGAGCCGAAACTGGACACTTAACCAATTGACTGAGCCACCCAGGTGCCCCTAAATTTTGCTTTTATGTGTTTAAAAAAAATTTTTTTAACATTTATTTTTGAGAGAGAGCCAGAGTGTGAGCAGGGGAGGGGCAGAAAGAGAGGGAGACACAGACTTGGAAGCAGGCTCCAGGCTCTGAGCTGTCAGCACAGAGCCCAACGTGGGGCTCGAACTCAAGGACTATGAGATCACGACCTGAGCCAAAGTGGGACGTTTAACCGAATGAGCCACCCAGGCACCCCCCTCCCTCTAAATTTTGTTCTTTAACATATTGATACGATTATCACAGCCTCTCTCCTATATTCCATTACAAGTTTCTCTAACATTCATTCATTTATTCAGGAAGAATATGACTGGATACCTAATATATGGAAAAAGTCACAATGTTAAAACTACACAGCTGATCCCCAAAAAACATGGGGGTTAGTGGGCACCGACCTCCCCTACATGGTTGAAAACTTTATTGCTTTACTTAAACTATAACTTTTGACTCCATCAAAACTTAACTCCTAATAGCCTACTATGAAGCCTTGCTGATCACATAAATGTCGATGAACACATATTTTGCATGTTATACGTGTTACAGGCCGTATTCTTGCGGTAAAGGAAGTTAGAGACAATGTTATT